GTTTGAATCTTAACTATTCCGTCGTCTGACCACACGTTCAGAAATCACTCCCTCTGAACGACCGTCTACCACATACAAGCAAACGGGTTGCAGAACGTTTTAACCGGCAACTAAAAGCTTTACTATCAGCTGCAAACGTTTCATACTGGACCGACGCTCTTCCACTCGCCTTACTAGGTATTCGCATTGCAGTGAAAGCTGAAACTGGATTAAACTGCGGCTCAACTCGTTTATGGAACGACACTTCGACTTCCAGGAGAATTCGTGGATCCTTCACCTCTTCAATGAACATAGATCTACCTTCTACACAAACAGGCTTACAAACTGTTTTGGGATATTCAGGAAAATATCCCAGAAATTATCCTATTAAGTCTAATGCTATTCTTGGACTTGGACATGGTATGATTTTCTTATTGGTCAGTACTTTATTTCACGTGTTATTTCATACTGTTCAATATTGTATAGTGTTATTATCTGTTTTATGGTACGTTGTGGTCTGCTTGACTGGTATATAAACAAAGTATGTTTGAAATATAATGATCATATATCTGAGGCTGAGACTTGCGTTCTGGATTCAACTGCTGGGCTAGACAGGGAAGCGAAACCATCAGAACCCTAGGTCGTTCTACGTGTTTGTGCGTCTTTGATCCGTTCGATAATTCGCTACCCTCACATCTGCCGTCACAGTTATAGCACAAACGCAATGCGTTCAGTTAAACGTGCTTCCACTCGACCACAATCAACCGATGTTTTTCGTTCAACCTGATTTACGATATAGTACACACGTTTTTTCGTCGGAGACTCGTATCGACGACCATTCGAATCAACTACGAAGGACCTTTCAAGATATTCTACGTGAATCTAAGTACTATAAGTCGATAAGAACGGAATAAACGATAGCATCAGCATCGATCGCTTAAAAGCAGTGTATTTAGAAGGAAATTCTATTCACGTCGACTTTCGGTACAATCAAAACAACACGACTCCTACACTCATAATTCCTCAACCAACAACCAACACTAGCGATGACACCGAAGTGTCTGAAAATAAACTTAAAACGACACGTTCTGGAAAAAGAGTAAGATTTCCAGAACCAGGAGCCGAAAATTTTCATTGTACCTTTTTCTTTTTTTTACTATGTTGTACCTCGGTCCCATATATAGAAAAAGGACCGGACGCTGCTAAATTTAGTAAGCTATCAGAAGAGTGTTTATCAACGACAAACTCGTTGGGTTTTAACTTCTGGCTGGCCACGTCTTAGGGTCATTACTTCCTCACTAGGGGGGAGTGATCTGTAGCGGTAATGAATACCAAATAAATAGCTCTGTAAGCTTTCAACATTGGATGCTGACCATATGTTTTAGTGGACTCATCTAGATGAAGGCGCTCGGTCATGCACCAGCACCAGATCACGTGTGGTAACGCTGTGCTCAACTCTACCGCAATCGCTAGCCAGATTAGATCAGAGAATTCCGATATATTGGTTATCGCCAAATACACTCTTCCGATCTCGTCGATTCTGTCTTTTGATTTCTCTTTGTGGGTACAAATTATATTAGGTGTTGCTGGTAAAAGCGTTGTCAAACATTGAATACCTGTGTCATCTTCAAAAACAAATATCTCGTGAAGATCAACAAACACAAAGGTTTGTTCCGGTATAACCGAGTACCTTTTTGGGTGAAGACAGCGCCCTCTTTTTTTCAGCAATTATGGATACCATGTTACAAAGTATTCCAGGGGCAGCAGCTTATTTAGACGACATCATAATTATGGCAGCAGACAAAATGGACCAGCAGGAGAAACTGGATCAGGTACTAGAACGTATTGCCGATTATGGTTTTCGCCTGCCAACGGAAAAGTTTGACTTCTATATGCAGCAAGTACGGTATCTTCGGTTCATAATAGGTAAAGACGGAAGACGACCAAATCCAGGAACATTGAAGCTGTGAGAACAATACCTAGACTCAGGGACATTACTACCCTACGATCGTTCTTGGGATTGGTCAACCATTTTGGTATCATCCTTCCGATCTCCATCATCTACGTGCTCCACCAAACCACCTATAACAAAAGAATACAAGATGGAATTTCATCTGCGGACTGTCAAGCAGCTTTTGAGAAAATCAAGCAACTCCTAACTTTCAATCTCTTATTAACATATTATGATCCTCGCTACCGATAGTTGTTGCTTCAGATGCTTCTAACTATGATGTGGGAGCAGTCATCTCTCCATTTTTCCTAATGGATTCGAAAAAGCTATCTTTGACAACAACCGAAAGGAACTACAGTCAAACTGAGAAAGAACTCTATCAGTTATCTTTGCAGTGAAAAAGTTCCACAAGATGATATATGGCCGACATTTTACCCTAATAGCAGATCATAAGCCACTAGTCCCAGTTTTTGGGTCAAAAAAAAAATTTCTGTTCATACGACCAATATAATCCAACGATGGGCAACCACGATGCTGGGGTAGGAGTTCAAGATCAAGAATAAGCCTACAACCACCTTTAGGAAAGCTGTCGCAATGACAAGATTAATAGCCACCCAAACAAAAACCAAGAGGAAACCCTTGTAGCAAATATATAAGCTGAGAAGGAAGTTCATCGCGTATTGGATGATATAATCAATGGACTCCCAGTAACCTTTGGAACTCAAAAAGATCACTGAAAGTGATAAGACATTGAGCACAGTTAAATGCTATCTCACGACCAAACGGCCAAACATCGCCTTGACGGAGAACGTTTGCAATATTTCGTCGACGAGACTCACTAATGGTTGCCGACTCGTGTATTATGTTCGGTGATCGAATTGTTATTCCGAAGTTATTACGTCACAAAGTTCTCGAGCAGTTTCACAGTGGCCATCCCGGAATCAATAAAATGAAATCGTTGGCTCGTAGTTATGCTTATTAGCCGTCAATTGACAAAGATATCGAGAATAAATGCCGTAACTGTCCATCATGCATTCAAGCCGCTTAAAATCCTTTGAAATGCGAACCTCAGTATTGGTTGTAGGACTCTGAGTAAGACTTCACGCAGGTTTTGCTGGTTCAATCAAGGAAAATGTTTCTAATTATCGTAGATGCATTTACAAAATGGTCGGAAGTGGTAACATTTTTTCACGTGGTTTAGGAATTCTTCGACTTGCTCTTTTGTAGGGTGTATTATACTGTGATTATCATCTTATCCTGTACATCGGGTACATCTTACTGTGAAAAATAAGGAAAGAACTTATTTTTATTCGACAGACAATTACTAGTTCGTATTGTACCTATTGCGGACTTAAATCATTAATAGATCTGCAATTTATTATATACTCATAGTCTCCAATCCTAGTATTAACCAGTTTAATACTTAATAACAACTAATACTCAGATATTATATTTAATTTAACGAGCACTGTGCTCACTTATTTTCATATCATGTCCAATAACTCCATTAAAAGACGACTTTCACCAACTTCTAAGCCAAATAAAAGGTCCAAATCTGTAACCCCTACAACTGACGACTCAGTGCTTGACAATGTCGAACCTTTAACTACTGAAAAATATTTATATTGTACACAAATGTCCCTATCGTCACCAGATTCTCCCTGTCGCAGCCTCTCTATCTCTACGTGCGGTATGCCAACGGTAAGACTGGTGGACATACAAGACACTATACCTACGTGCATCGAAAAGTCAGCACAGTCTACTAGACAATATGTGCTACCAAGGCCTAAGTCTAAAATTTCAAAAACTAAAGAGTCCAATGGTCCTCCTCATACACACCAAAATACTGATAGATATAGTAATGAAATCCGACAGCTGCAAAACTCTCTATTCGAAATTAACGGCAAACTTGAGAAATTAGCACCCCTCACTCATATATGGGGCCTTGACACAGACAGAAATCTTGAGCAACTCACTAAAGCTGAGTGTATTTTGGAGTTTGTGGCTGAAGAAGTGACGAAGAGAGTGATGTCCTCCTTCAATGCAGTTGTGTATAACCTTCCCGACCGCACACACCCATCTAAGCTAAGAGATATTTGCCTTAGAGCATGCGGTATGCCGAACGTTAACTGCAAAGTCATCCGCCTTAGAAAAAAGTCAGACAGATCGACTTGCCCCATTTTGTTTATGTTTGGCTGTTGTAACGATGCTAAGCAGTTTATTAATTCGAGCAAAAATATTAGCTCACTAATTCCATACAAAAATATAAAAGTCACTCCAGACCTTACGCCCTGTCAACGTCGTGTAAGAAGACGCGAAGCGATAGAATTGAATGGGAGTGTTACAGTTAATAATCAGTCTGAGACAGTTTGCAACACAGCAAATAGTTTAGAACACACGAACAATAAGCATGACACCACTCCACATACGGCTGGTCACTCTGTTGATCTAGATGAGTCTACAGATCAGAAACCTTTGGATAAGATACGGACCCCAACTGACACCAAAAACCATAACGACATGACTAATCCCAGCTGTTCGTTCAGTAATGTACTAAAATGTGAGTCGTGTAACAACACACGTGCAACTAAACCTATACACTTGAAAATTTGTCCTCCTAAAGATATTCCACAAGTAGACTTGAATGAACGTAAGTTCATCTCACAAAGACAACGAAAGGCTCCAGCTCTGAAAATAAAGGGTGGGAAGACAAAACTCATGATACCGAGTAGGGAAACACGTAAGATTGAACCCAACTGCTCTATAGGTATCCCAAGA